TCCTTAATAGCCAGTGCTTCGCCGGGGAGATAGCTACGGTAGCTCTTGTATTTTCTTTTTCTTTGTTGTAAGACTTGGTGATTTCTGTTAATGGAAATCAGAGAGAGAGAGAGAGAGAGAGCGCTCTTTTATAAAAAAAAGTGACTCGTGTCTATTTAAGGATGTGATCCCGTGTAGTGGCATGTATGAAGAAATTAGGGAGTGAACTGTTGTATGGCTGCAAGCGCTTGTTCAAAAGTTTAATCTTGATTAGTGCACTTGTCCCAGTGCAAACGTTGTCATGGACGTAGTGTCCCTTGAAGTACGGTGATGCTGGTGAAAAACAGGTACAGTACATCTCCAAGAGTTCGGTTCACCTAATACATGACCAATACGAGATCTATTTATTGAACAAAAATATTCCAAAGTTCCTATCCATCACATGTAATGAACGGCATGCCATTGCCATGAACAAATTAGTGTTCAGAAGAGATGCCATGATATAACTTCCTTCATGTCCAGAATTTCATACGTACTTCAAAGAGTCAGGGATTTTTAGATATTTTTTGTGCCTTCGAAAAGGATGCGTATGGTCATTTTTGTTAAATTTGATGCAAAGCAACCATCAACAAATTGAGTACAAGACTTGAATAACTACGAGAGACACATGATATGAAATCAGCACCTTCGACTAAGTCGACTTCTTCGGCAATAACGCCTTCAAGAAGGGATATCTGCCCTCGCGCCATTATCACCATATCCAAGCAGATACAACAAGGATAAGGATTTTCATCATGATTGTGGAGACCAACCAATGAAGGACACTACGACAACAAGTAGACAACACCTTCAACAAGGTAACACGCAGTTTGCTGCCGCAGAACCTAAACAATGAAGGTCAGAACAAGAGTTTTTACCCCAGGGAGGAAGTTGTACTCCAATCACCGCCTTGAAAATGGATCTTTCACTAGTTTCGTCAGCCAACACTCCAGGTTAGACATTAAGCAACGATCGTCAGGAGGCCACTCATGATGGAAGCGCGAAACTGACTGACACCACTTCACACCGTTGTGAACCGACCAACATCGGATGTTGCCGCTGACATCCTAAAAGCTTGACTTATTGCAAAGTGTTTTTGACAAGTTCAATGAGTTGACTACGATGAAATAATTAATCACAACGTAGCAATGCTTGAGCTAATTTGGGTTATTCTAGCAATCGTTGGATATTTCAACTTTGATATATGGTAGATGGGCGTCAAAACAAACTTTTCTAAACGGAATATTAAATATGAACGTGTATATGATACATCACAAGGGTTTGTCGATCCAAGGGATGCTTGAATAATGTGCAAAACTTCAGAGATCCATTTTATGCAAGCACAAAGGAACTGGAATCTTCATCTCGATGAAATGGTCAAAGAGTTTGATTTCATCAAGAATGGCGAAGATCCTTGTGTTTGCAAGAAATTAAATGGGAGTCCAATAACATTTCTTATACTTTATGGGGAAACCATATTGTTAATTGTAAATGATGTAAATTTCTTGACATGAATTAGAACATCAATAAAAATAATTTTTCAAAGAAGGACTTGGCTAGACAACATGTATACTAGGCATAAATATCAATAGAGATAGATCATAGCGTCTAATAGGGCGAAGCCAAAATACATATTGACAAAATATTAAAGTGATTTAGTATGAAAAACACAAAGAGGTTCTAACTAAGGTCACACGAAAAATGTTTCAGGAAAAACCCAGTACCCTAAGACGGTTGATGAGCAAGAACACATGAGTGAGATTCCATACACTCTGCGTTTGGATTTATCATGTACTCCATGGTATGTACATAACCATATATGCCATATGCTCCAAAGAATTGCGAGCAAGATACCGGAGTGATTAATGTGTTGATCATGGGCCAATAGTGAAAAAATCCTTAAATATCTAACTAGGGCTAAGGACATGTTTCACATATATGGAGGTGATGAAAAGTTATTTGCAAAGGCTTACATCGATGCAAAATCGTTGTAAGTGGTTACATCGATGCAATCTTTATCATTGATCCAGTTGATTTTCATTTTCAGTCGGGATTTGTGAATACAGTGAACGGTGGCACAATAACCTGGAATTGCTCCAAGTAGAACACTCTGGTGGATTCTACAACAAAGGCAAAGTATATTGCCGCTTTGGAAGCGACGATGGAGGGTATGGGTGGGTATTTGGATCAAAGAGTTCTTGAACTTGGTAGGGTTCCAAGTATGTTGGAGCCAGTGAAACACTATTGAGGATAGTGCCGCCATAGCCCATGCTAAGGAACCAAGGTCCTACCAGCTATTCAAACATATATGAAGCAAACTCCACATAATTTGTGAATTTTGTGGAACATGGAGACATATAAAGATGTGCAATATACACGCGGACTTGAATGTGTCAGATGTTAGGAAACACAGTAGAAAAAATAAATTGTCCTACGGATACTCCCGAATCACTATGAAGATGCATACAAGGTTCGATCGGATCATTACCAATTTCAGTTGCAGCGGAAGAAGAATTGGCGTAGATTGTTGATAAAGCCCCTTGAACCGTTCACGAAACATTCGAAGTGCGGACAAGAGGCACTTGAGTGAGTGCCTCGTGGAATTCTTGGATTTCTTTCCAGGCCTCTGTTAGGTTGTGAATGGTGCGACAGTGGCACACACGGCGTAATGTGTGCGAGCAACATGTTCAATGGGCTATACCCCTTCCTTTTTAAGTGGGCTTCTGCGGGAAGCACCTCTCCCCTAGTTCTCATTGTGAAGAAAAGAGCGGTGAAAATAAGTTAAGCCCCGATCCCAAAACTAAGCTGCTAGAAGCCTTAAAAGAATCGGCCCTTAGAATTTCATGGTAAAATTTTCACGGCTAGTAGCAACCTGTCACTGAACAGGAATGGGCTTAGTAGCACAGTATATGCGTGCAATAGATAAAACAATAAAAAAGTAAATGTTAACTGTTCTATGCGACACTGATAAACAAAACATTTGCTAAAACAAACTGATAAACAAAGCAAGTGACGCCGAACACTGTTGACATGGCAATGATAAACAGAGCATTCATGATCTCCATTGGTTTTGACGCGGCCCTTGATACTGTCAAATAATTGTTCAATGTTGTTATGAAAAGAAATCCTCCTACGAGGTATCCAAGTTGTAGGTTTTCGGGTTTATACCTAAAAAAGGACCCTCTTAGTCGGCGAACATTCGCCGTGGAGGATGATAATCATGAACGCTTTCATGACAGTTTCAGTTGTAGAGTTGACAGTTTCTTCAGACTAGCATAGTAGCAATCTGTGGTAGAGACTAGAGAGGGCAATTTATTGAAAAACTGCTGGTTGCGACTGTGTTCGCTGGCAGTTTCTTCCCGGCGAACGTTGGTTAGTTAGCACTAAAAGAAAAATCTTTACGTTTGCGGTGGCCTGACAAGGCTTCTTCTGGGCACTTGTGCGAATCCCGGGGCAGACCGCTAGCAGGGGACGCGCCAAGCTCAACAGCCCGACGAAGCCAAGATACACCGCCCGACCGCCGGACCGGACGCGAGCGGGGGTTGACGAACGCACGGCGGGAGGCACGGACCAAAAGCCACAGCGCCTCGCTCCCCGTCCATATCCATCTATCTATCTCGTGCCGTCCACATCCAAAAGCTAGCGTGCGGCGCCGACCTCGCGCGCGCGCGCGCGCATATATACACGAACACGGTAGGCGATGTGGTCGATCGAGGCTGTGATCGCCAGGCACGAAGCCGGTCTTGGCAAAACCGCGAGCGAGCGCGCCGTCATGGAGGAGAGCACCGAGGCCTCGGCGACGGCGAGCGGCGTGGCGCCAGTAGCCGGAGGCGCGGAGGCCGCCCGGGCGGCGGGCGCGACGATGAAGGTGGTGGTGGCGGTGGACGCGAGCGAGGAGAGCCTGCAGGCGCTGTCGTGGGCGCTCGACCACGTCGTCCGGCTCCACCCCGGCGCGTCCGTCGTCGTCGTCCACGCCCAGCACCGCGTCGACCACTTCGCCTACCCCGGCGCGTCCGTCGTCGTCGTCCACGCCCAGCACCGCGTCGACCACTTCGCCTACCCCGGCGCGTCCGTCGTCGTCGTCCACGCCCAGCACCGCGTCGACCACTTCGCCTACCCGTCGCCGCCCACGGTACGGTGCACAATCTCGCGCGCGCACCAACCGCGTGAACTCCTCCCTGACACACTTTTTGTGCGTGACGCGATCGTGCCGTAGCAGGCCTGGCCTACGCCCCGCCCACGGCGTTGGACTCCATGAGGAGGGCGCAGGAGGAGAACTCGCGGAAGGCGGTGGCCCGCGCGCTGGACGTGTGCAGGCAGAAGCAGGCGAGCGCCACGGCGGCGGTGGTGGAGGGCGACCCCAAGGAGGCCATCTGCCAGGCCGTGGAGGACATGCGCGCCGACCTGCTCGTCCTCGGCAGCCGCGGCCTCGGCATGGTCAAGAGGTACGTACGCGCCCATCGCCATGGCCTTCCACATCGAGCTATCACTACCGACTGACGTGAGCGGCTGTGCTAAATCAATCGTGTTTTTGTGACTCTGTGCAGGGCGTTGCTAGGCAGCGTGAGCGACTACCTCGCCCATCACGCGTGTTGCCCCGTTCTCATCGTCAAGCCACCCAACAAGGCGCACCACAAGTGAAGAAGCTCTACACAGGCTACGTTTTTGGCTCGTTTGTCAACTACTCCCTCCGTTCGGAATTACTTGTCGCGGAAATAGATGTATCTAGACGTATTTTAGTTCTAGATACATCCATTTTCGAGACAAGTAATTCCGAACGGACGGAGTAGTACTAGTAGCACTGGCTTGTTAGCGACTTGTGCTTCCAATAAAGATGTAGCGATGGAGCTCCCGTGTATAGCCGTGTAGTATGTTCGGTAGGCTCCATCATGTGTATGTAGCATGTTCAGAAGTTCAATCTCAATCGTGTAGTTGTCCCAGGAAAGTGATAACGTTGTGACGAACCGTGGTGCCCCTTCAAGGCAATGGGGGCTCAAAACAGGTAGATTACAATTGCGAAGAATCTGGTTCACCTAATACGTGAGAGTACACATATGTATCAAACAAAAATGTTACGTGCTAAATTCGTGTTTACCAGACTGAAAGATGCATCATGCGAGAGTATCCATAGGACGAACATCGCTGTCCCATCTCGACAAGCGCCACAGGCAGCCTCCTCAGAAGGCTAAATGGAGGCGCCATCGCTCCGATCCCAGCCACCAAGTCTGTCCACCGGGTCATAGTTCGTGAACAGCCGGAACACATTCCCCAGTTTGTTCGAGTGCTGGGGCTTGAAACCGCAGGGGCGCACGTTTAGGAGCTCCAGCGCGTGGTCCTTCTGAACTTCGCCTGGCAGAAGAAGTTGAAGTCATATGCATTAGAGAACAAACGAATTATTCGGAAAGACAAATTTCGGTACACATTGTTATCTCACAGAACAACACTAGTAATGTTCCCAGCAAAGTTACAATCACGCTTACAAGGCATCACGGGTTCTTAAATTGTAAACTAGTGAGGATTACACATTCTGATGCTAACACACGTAAGTATACGATTGCATACAATTTTTAAGAGAGACCATTTGCATACAAGAAGAGGCACATCATGTAAGGTTTCGAAAGATGAAAATAAACTGCTGAAGTTGTGCTAAAATGCCACAGTACTTGCAAGTTGCAACTACACTCGATCTACCGAGATGTAATACGGACTGTTCAAGCTTTTTTCCCCATGAATACACAAAAGCTTTGTGTATCATTGCATTGATAAAGAGGAGTTTCACATAGGTCGTGTTACAAAGCAAAGTGGGTTTGGTTTGTTGACAACCACACCCCCAACCTACGAACGCCTATGGCTATTCTCCTGGTACGACGAATGTTAAAAGTCTTGTGAGAAGTAATAGCATGGATTGTTGATAGTAATAGGTGATACCCGAAATCATACTGTTTTCCATTGATTGCAAAACAAAATCCAACCCGGAAGCACATACAATCGGCACCCCTTTTACAATGCCATGAAGTACTATCAAGCAAGAACAGATGCATCGGATTCTAGTTAGATCCAAGACGACGCTGATCCAAGGGTTCAGTTGACTTGAATTACCTGTGAGTAACAGCAGGAATGAGCCTTCAGGCTGCGCGAGGAAGGAGACCGTCTTGGCAACCTTCTCCAAGCACTCCTGACTCTGCACCAACAACGAATCACCACAATTCAATCAAATCTGGATTTCTGTGCTCAAGAACGAAGTATAAATCAAAGGAGGCAATCTATGGTGGAAAGCATACCAGGTAAGGAGGGTCAGCGACGACGATGCTGAAGGCGTGCTTCATGGCGGGCGGCAGCGCCTCCGGCTGGTTGTAGTCGTAGAAGGCGAAGTCGTCGCCGTACTGCCCGAACCGCTCGTCGTACTCGAGCAGCCGCGCGGGCACATCCGGGCTGCTCTTCCGGAGGTAGGCGTAGAGCGTGGGGCAGGCGACGCAGGCCACGGCGGCACCGGCGCTGCCGGCAGGCAGGCCGGAGGCGAGGCGGGCGACCTCCTCGGCCAGCCCCCGCGCGGTGCCCTCGTCGTACCAGAACTGGCTCAGCCGCCAGTCCTCCGCGACCAGCTCCACCCCTTCCCCTTCCCCCTTTTCCCCTTCGTCCCGCTCCTGCCGTCGCTGCTCCTCCAGGAACTCCCGCAGCGCCCCCGCCGCCGCCGCGCTCAGCTGCGGCCGCTCGTCGTCGTCTTCCTCCTCCTCCTCCCCGGCCTCCCGCCCCGGTCTCCCCTCCTCCTCCGCGCCGCCCGCCATAGTTTTCTCTGCTCTCTTGCCGAGCTGGAGAGGAGGCGGCGCGCCAGGGAAGCTCTCACGGAGCAAACACAGTCGGCTCAGGGCCGGTTTCTGGGCCTCGGTGGACGCGGGCCGAGACGTCTGGGCCTCGGTGGACGCGGGCCGAGACGTCGGGGCCTCGGTTGATGCGGGCCGAGACGTCGGGGCCCAGTGGAGCGGGAGCAGGGGAAAATAAAAGCAGAGAGTGGCAATGGAATCGCAGGGGGGGGACTGTGAGGGAAGCGAGGGGGGAGGTGGTGCGCCTGCCTGCGCCTCCGTTCCCGGTCGGGCGAGCTGCGAAACCCCAATCGCCTCCGCATCTCCCGTCCTCCTCCCGGCGGCGCCGTCCTCAGTGCGCGCCGCGGCGGCCAGCGAGCCACCGGGCCGAGGGAGGAGAAGGGCGGCGGTTGCTGCGTTGGCCGCTCGCTTCCCGAGGTAGCATTCGCGCTCGCCCTCCGCTCGCCGGCTCCCGTCCCGCGCGCGACCACGGCAGATCGACCCGCGAGCTCGCCTTGGACGCGCCTGCTCCGTGCGGTGAGGAGGGGGCGCTGACCGGCGCGGCGGTTGCTTCTCGTGGAAGCTTCGGGGGGCGCGGCACGGCCCGATCCGGTTTGGTCTGGGAGCAGGCGGCGGCAATGTCGGCCGCGGGGGAGGACATAGTGCAGCACCTCTCGTCGAATTCCAACCCGTCCTCGTCCAAGCTCGCCAAGCTCGAGGCGCGCATGGCCGGCAAGGCCGTCTCGGTGCCGCCCCCGTCGCCGCCGCACCACCCGGTGGTCTCCGCCGCCTCGGCCCCCACCTTCATGGACCAGGAGGAGCTGCCCGAGTCCTCCTCCTCTTCGGATGATGATGTCAGCCCTAAACCTCCTACTCCCTCTGTTCTTTCTCCTCCCCTTTTACTGCTCTAGTATTACATAAACATAATGTTTATCTACCTTCGATTACCTTGCCTGTATATTACCTATGCTGCTGCAATCATCCTGGTTAGAACTATTTGTAATGTCTCTATTGGTAAACCTGTATTGTAGCTAATTACAGGTTACTGATATTCCCATTCCTAATTTCATTTCATCTAACCTAGACTAATGTTTGCTGTATTTGCTCACCAGAATGGCGAGGAGTTCTTGATACAGAAGAACACACTGAAGCGTCCGAGATCCCCGGACGATGACCACGGCCTAGCTCTTGGAAATTTTGAGGTGTGATCTTCTAACATTAATTGACTAGAATTAAACACGGACAGTTCTATTCTGCACTTGCTTTCCGTTCCTTGTAGTAAAAATTCTGTCTGGTGCACTCTTTCATGATTGTGAATTCCAGGGATCAGCTAATGCGGCAGCAAAAGTATTAGATGTCGCGGACGCACGACTGCCTTCGGAAAACCCAAGCAGAAAAAAGCAAGGCCGTGGAAGGGGACGTGGTGGAACAGGCCGAGGGCGTGGCTCAAAGACGGTTGATCAAACACGCCATACTTCGGCTTCCTCAGTAACTGCATCAAATGGTCAACATGACAAATTAAACAACATGGTATGCTGTGCAATTTTATTCTCAAGATCTTGACCGATCTTCTAGCTTTTAACCCATCAACGGGCAGTGGTGGGTAATGACTATCTTGCACTTGAATAGATCACGTCATTGCTTGCGCTCTTCTGGAAGAACCCTTTTAAGGCCATTGATCGATGCAAAAAATAATTATCACAGTGTAGAAATTCCTACAGCTTAGTTTGGTATTGATCAAATTATTAGATGTATTAACATTGTTGAGGAAATCCATAACTGGTAGCTGCTTGGTTGGCTGGCGAGTAGGGGATTAATAGACTAATCAGCAGGTTAGTCGGCAAGTTAATCAATTAATCAGCTACTCGGTGACCCTAGGAGTAGGGATTAATCGGCAAATTAACTGGTTAATCGGATGAATTCTTGAACAGGGTGTATCAATGATAAAGAACAACTAGCTTCTCCGATGCGGATAAAATATATCAATTGGAGAATGTTGAAATAGAGCCATTATATTTTTGCTCAGTTGGGGTGCGAATTGCTGAAATAGGCCACATCGCACAATAAGCACTTCAGCAATTGAGTTTTACTAACTGATGCAACTTATATTGACAAATAAGGTTCATGTTGCATAACATATTAAAATTCCACATTAGGGCATCACTCCATCATCACTTCACCAGGGATCTGGTAATCTTGTAGACTGGAATAAAATTGATTAAATGGCTGCAATCCTTGGCTCTATGATAATCTCCTAAAGGACTGTACATTCCGTGATCAAGTGATACAAGGCTTGGCGATATCGACGCATTTGAGGGCTTCATTTGTTGTAATCTCATACACATATGTATACAATACCAGTACGCTATTTCCTTATCTGCTAAATTACCAGCTTACATACCATTTACTCCACAGGATTCCCGAACAAGTGTTCTACCTGGGAATGATGACAGGACTGCTTTACACGTAAGACTTATTTATTTGCACCACTTCCAATGAGATGCACACATCTTGGTTTGATAATGCTAATGCATCCTTTTATTTTCCTTACATACCATTTCCTGCCTGCTTCCGAATGTGTGTGGGCTTAGCTTGTACATACACTTGAAAATACTTCTGAGGGTGTTCGTACATGCATCCAGGACCTTTCCTTCAAGAAAAAGTGTCTCTGTTAGTTCAATACTTCCACTTGAGTTTAGCATCTAAGCATCTTAACTAAATAAGTAATATTTTTTATGGCTTTCATATATGCATCCAGGCCCTTTCCTTCACGGAAAAGTGTTTCTGTTTGGTTCAGTACTTCTGTCCGAGTCTAGCACCTATAGGCAACTTAACTACATAAAGTAATATGATGTCGTTAAGATATCGTTGTGAAAGCATGTGCAGCTTTGGTGAATACTGTACTGGACAAGCCATATCTCACAGGGAATCAGTCAATCTGAGATACGAAGTATAGTGTACCATACAAACATGTTCTAGGATACTTTCTTTCATTTTCAAATTTACATCTTAAGCACTCCCAATTGAATAGGAAGAATTATCACTGTTACGTGGTAAAGTTGCATTTTTGGAGGAGGAGCTTAACAAATCGCGTCAAGAAGCAACGGAGTATCGCCAACTTAGTGATAGGTTAGCTAAGGTAAGGATATACTCACTGCAAGCTTTCTTTGATCCCGACTTCCCTAGGTCACTGACTTGTTGCCTTTGCATTATTCTGCCAGGAATTGAAGGATTTCAAGGATCAAGATCAACAAAAGAAATCAAAGGTGTCATTTAGAAACCATTTTTTATTACCAACCATATGTTTTAGCTACCCTTCATTGTTATTTATAGATTGGACCATTTTTGTTCTGAAGGTTTGGAACTTACCACTTAAGCCTATCATTATTGACAAATGAAGGAAACAACTCGCTTCTTGTATATGCAGAGATCCTGAAGTAATAGCCATTATTATAATTATGCAGCATATATGCTTACGTGTCTATTCTCATTGATACAGCAAATGAAGGTCCTGTCTGATCTGCTCATAGCAGTATCAAAAGCAGAAAGGCAAGAAGCACGGATGAAGTTAAAGCAGGAATCTTTCAGACTCGGGAACATTGGTGTTATGAGGTAATCTCTCAATGATCCGAGTTTCAAACACTTAATGAGGAATAAAGGAAGGATATGTCTGGATTTCCTATTACCTAAAGAATAATACTTTGTATATGGGTCGTTGTTATACTGGCATGTATGCTGCGATATTGTCTTCCAGAAATAGGCTTAGTGGCATGACCTGTCAGTTACTTCATATATTCAGTATGCTTTCTAGTATTGGCAACTTCTCTGCAGTTTGGATGTTTTTCTCACTTCTATTTCCTGTTTTGGGTATGGACCATTTATTGCAACCTTTTCTTTGACTGTTCTTTGTCATAACTCAGAGCTGGGACTGTCATATCTGAAACATGGGAGGATGGCCAGGCAATAAAGGACCTTAATGCGCATCTTGTGAGTTTCTGCCGCTCCGTAGATCTGTTTATTTCAATAGACTATTAGGCATAGTATATTCCATTGTAAAAGCTGATCATAATGTTAAGAACTTACTGTGGAATTGTGATCTGGGTGACCTGTCCAGTTGCTGATACCCAACCATTAACAGCTTTACTTCAGAAGGCATACCTGATGCTCTTATTAGACAACTTCTATTTCATTTTGTCTTGTTCGCGATTTTGATGATATATGTGCAGGTCACCCAGATCTTGTTTTTTTTACCTGATGCTCTTAAGTCATTACCATCCTAGCATCTTATAGGACATCTTGATCTTGTTTAGTTGAGCATCATGTTCAAAAGGGAAACTTTGTTGTTCATACTTTATTTTTATTGATCTGGCTTGGCTTGGACATGTAGTTTACATTTCATAAGCTTTGTCTATTAAGGCACATTGCGTAACTTGCAGCTCTGGTCTTTTACATGTTTTGCTCTCATCTATATAATTCCAGTTCTTGACAGTCACATTAACATACCATCCCTTTGTTGAATTGCTCATGTATGTTGGACCTCTATGTAGAAATCATTGCTGGAAACTAAAGAGGCTGTTGAAAGACATCGTAAGTCTCTAAAGAAAAGACAATCATCTGGTAAGAGCTACTCTTTAGAAACAAATATTGTGCTAGCTCAAAAACAAATATTGTGCTAACTCAAATTCTTTATAAGTTGCTGATTGAACTATCTTGCACATTGAAGAAGATTTGATGTATGGGTATATAACTTAAGTTCATTATTTTATACGAGGAAAAACTCTTTCACACAAGCAAGAGATAAACAAACACACATGATACTTTTGTTGTCACTGTTCTACACTCACTGCTTGATGGTCTGCTATTGTGTAGATAAGGGTGACGGGAGTGATGCTGAAAATAGCATGTCCGAGGAAGATTTCCTCTTACAGGATGAGATATGTAAATCTCGGTTAACAAGTATCAAGCGGGTGAGTGGTTTCCTTTACTTGGTTATTAAATACACCCTCTTCCCCTCTTAACCTACTTTCCACAATTGAATTGCAGGAGGAAGAACAGTATCTGCGAGAAAGAGATCGATATGAATTGGAAAAGGGTAGGCTTATACGTGAAATGAAGCGTCTCAGAGATGAGGATGGATCCCGCTTTAATAATTTTCAAATTCTTCACCATCGATATGCTCTGTTAAATCTTCTTGGAAAGGGAGGGTTTAGTGAGGTGTACAAGGTATATTCTTTCTTCAGTTATATATTTCTTTTTAAAAGGAGGCTCTGAACCATTGTTTATCGATAATCCATCTTGAAATACAAATGCATTCTGCGTTAATAAGGTAAAAGAGGTGCTCAACGTTACCATCATTATTTTAGATTTGTCTCTATATATGCTCCTATCAATAGCTTCATTTTGGGTGGACAGGAAGGCTGGGATCCTGGCCTATCCAAAATGGGCTTAAAAGGATAAGAAAGAAGTATGCAAACCTGGTATTTAAATAGTACTCCCTCTGTTCACAAATATAAGATGTTTTGGATATTTTAATATAAACTACTACTTCTGTAAAGAAATATAAGAGCGTTTAGATCACTACTTTAGTGATGTAGATGCTCTTATATTTCTTTACGGGGAGTACATACAAACTGAAATGAATGAACAAACACACTAAAATGCTTCTATATACATCCGAATCAGAAAAAAGTTAGAACATCTTTTAATAGTGAGCGGAGGGAGTAGGTGAATCTATATGGAAACATTGGAGCAACACATCTGGCATTGAATGTTCTTTGGCTTATGTTACATGGGGAAGTCAGTACACCAGGTGCAATGTGGCAGGAGCCAGTGCAAGTGGCTGAGAACTGGATTCAGTTTCCAGCTGCCTATCAGGTCCTAGTCTGTAGTTGGTTAGGGAAGGAATAATTTAGGTAGGTTAATTCAATTAGGGAAGGGAAGAATTAGGTGAGTTAAGATGAGTCTGATTCTTTTTAGGAAGTTGTTAGTTGGCCCAGTCTGTGTATCAGGCAATGCTATAAAAGCATGCCAACAATGAGATATTTCTCTAATTTCTACACTCTTTTCTATCTCCTCCCTATCCATCGACCTCCTACTGAGCTGCTATTTACTCTACTGAAATTCTATCACGGTGCCGTCCAAGCCTTGCAAAGGTGCTTCGTACCACAACTATAACCTTCATTTTCTGATCCTTGCCTGTGGCAACTTAGGCCTTGTTCGGATCTAAGGGAGGAAAACCAAAGGATTGGGAGGAAATGAGGGAAAAGAAAAGGAAACACGGGGTCAAACACAGGAATACATAGACCATGTAGGAACGGCGTAGGTGTTCGGAATGCAGGAAAATGGAGTACAGGGAATCTAGATAAGTTGGTCACACCCGATGATTTTTTCTATGTAAAAAAACTAACATGCTGGTTGAGAGTTTAGGTTAATGGGCCCCACCATGCACTTATCCATCTCATTCTGAACTTGATGTTGGTCCCAATGTGTATGGTTGAGGTGCTCTGCCTTGGGCCAAAGCAGAAAAAAAGATCTGGGAGTGGATTCTTGGTTTTCTTCAAAAGTACAGGCCTAGAAAACTTTACAAAGGATTGGAAAGCAGCGATTCCTGTGCTCTGAACACAGCTACAGTGAAAAAACCTGTAGGAAACGATTCCTTTCAAGTTTCCTAAACTTTTCCCGTGAAGCGCACAGGTCCTTATGTTCCTCTTATGTTGAAAAATGTAAGGTGTTGTGTTATAAATAAATGCAGGGTATACCATCTTGTACCAGCTTCGATGTTGTATTAATTTTGTTGCCAGAATATTACCTAGTTTTTAGCCTTCCTTTTGTGACGTCATTTCAATGTGTTTTGATATAGCATTCACATCTGATCTGTAGAAATTTGGAGTTTGGTGACACCACAAATAGTAACATGCAACTGTTCCTCTGTGCAGGCTTTTGACTTGGTGGAATACAAGTACGTGGCCTGTAAGCTTCATGGTTTGAATGCTCAGTGGAGTGAGGAGAAAAAGCAAAGCTACATACGGCATGCGATTCGTGAATATAATATCCATAAGACTCTGGTGCATACAAACATTGTCAGGCTATGGGACATATTCGAGATTGATCACAACACATTCTGCACTGTCCTAGAATATTGCAGCGGTATAATGATTTCTTAAATTTCTTTGACATTTTGACTGTCTAAATTTGGTTCTGTCATTTTTGTTTTCCTTGGAGTCTTATGTCACCCTGATGATGCCCATTGCCTCATGTTTCCTTTAGTTTTGTACTCCCTCCGTTCCTAAATATAAGATGTTTTAGTTTTTCTCTATTGTCTCAGATTCGTATGCGTCTAGACACGTTTTAGTGTGTATATTCGCTCATTTTAATCTGTATGTACTTCATATTGCAATATCTAAAACATCTTAATTAGAAACGGAGGGAGTAATACAGAAAATGCTAGTTAGGTTTTGTGCCAGGCATGCATGGTGTAACCCAGATACATATATCTATGATGAACTCTTACGTCATTAAACTTATTCCAGTTTTTACTATTTAGTCATAGTTGCCTCTAGGTGTCCTGGAGTAGACAGCGATATAAGGAACTAAAAGGGACATCTAAACCATGCTTCCAGTGATTTGGTCATGGTTTCTTACAGTTACAGTCCACATTGCCATTTATAATCTTGTAACATATGGATCACCCATACCACATTATGAGCTTAAGAGGTATGGAAAACTGTCATATTTGATCACTGCGCAAAAAGAATACATAATGCTTTGATGATGCCATGGAATTTGAGCTAGATTATTAGCAATTCTAGTGATATCTAATGGAGGCTGAAGTGGTCATTTGTAGTTGCTGAGCATGGCATTGACCCAATGACCTTGGCTTCAGTGCATAGATATCGAAACATGATAGATCATGTCTCATATAGTAGATTGAAGTTTCTACGTTTCTGCTGTTCTCTTCTCGGTAGGCGCACAGTCCATTCTAGTTTTACAGTAGTTATTCATAATGATTTTACTACTGAAATCTAGAACTCTCATATTAGGAGGTTGTGGCATCTAATAATGTTATCTCCTTGCTCATCTTTTACCTAGGCAAGGATCTCGATGCAGTCCTTAAAGCAACGCCAATTCTTCCAGAAAAGGAAGCAAGAATCATAATTGTTCAAGTATTTCAGGGCCTTGTTTATCTTAACAAAAAGGCTCAAAAGATCATCCACTATGACCTCAAACCAGGCAACGTCCTCTTCGACGAAGTTGGTGTTACGAAAGTCACAGACTTTGGCCTTAGCAAGATAGTGGAGGATGACGTTGGGTCTCAGGGAATGGAACTCACTTCTCAGGGAGCTGGAACCTATTGGTGAGCGACTGAGTGCATTCACTTTCCCAGTTGATTTTTACGAGGCCAGATCATGTTTCTGTGGAATGTTTTAGTTGCCGCCATTGATTTGCTGTACCTGTGTACAATTGTATAACCTTCAAAATAAATGCTCCCTCAGATCCATATTACTTGTCGCTCAAACGGATGTATCTAGTGCGTCTATCCGTTTGAGCGACAAGTAATATGGATCGGAGGGAGTACACTATGTAAGCAGGTTGGATTATACATTTAATTCTTGTTCATGTTATTGTGTCTGCTGCACCAATGTTATTTCTTAATGACAGATATTTCTGTTTTAAAAATTCTTTCTTCCTTTTCTGCTTTAATTTTTTTCTTCCTTCTCCAGGTATCTGCCACCAGAATGCTTTGATCTCAGCAGAACACCATTTATTTCATCTAAGGTACTGATATTTGCCAGCATGTTTTACCTTCTAATGTACTCCCGCCATCCCAAAATAAAGTTAGTGCAAAGTTGAGTCACCAGGGATATATTTGCTTTAAATATGCCCTCAGCTGCCAGGGATGCATGTTCACCTGCTACATATTTTAGAACGTCCTTCCTGATACAAGTGTTTGCATCTTGCGTTTTGCACAAGAATGGGAGAAAACTTTGGATTTGGAGTGAGCAAGAGTCCACTAGAGAGAGAGGGCGCTGCTGGCGTGGCCGATTTGCTTGCAGACAGAGGAGACGCAGACGGGGCAGTTGCTGGAGCTTGCCGAAGCTCACTGATTTGGGGGTTGCTGAATCTCCACACGGCAGCTGGACCGGCGGTAGGGGTGGGGTTGGTTGTTGGGAAAAAGAAGGCAGATAGGGGTGACATGGTAGGAACATATAAGGGGAGAGATCTAGCTAGGTGGCACCGTACAAGGGAGCTGGGTGGGAGAGGCTGTGAGTGATGATTTAGAGCTGCTAGGGTTTCTGTTGGGTCATATAGGCCAGGCTGTTGGACCTAATGGGCTGGCTCAGGGATTCCTGTTGGTCCTAATTGGCACATAAGGTTGGAATTTGATGCCGGGGCATAATTTTCTGCCATATAAATATTGTCTATTCTTATTTTCCCTCAAAGCCTATTTGTCGCCATGACGGGTGCTATGTCGACATAGGGCCCTGGGATCGAACTCGACTCAGCGACATGGAATCTTTGGCTGTTGGGAGGCTGGGTAATTGGGTCACCAGACGTGATGAGGATACTGGTCTGCTGGCGGTCAGTGGATTGATATGCCGATTGTCAGTGATAGAGTTAGCTGGGGGTTGCTGCGGAGGGCGGGGTTGCGGAGTATGGCTCCGGCAAACAGTGGTGGAGGTGCCCATCCATGGGTGGTCCGTGGGAGGATGCAACAGTAGGTCTGAACTGGGAAGTGAAAGGTGACACTGAGAGGGGGAAGTGGTCGGGCAGATATGCATTTTTGGACAAAATTGGGGACATGATCCCTAGTTAACCCTCTTCAAGTTTTTAGCTTCCCAAACTTCTGATTTAAATACCCAGTTATGGTAACTGTAGCTTCATTCTGATTGGTGTGTAAACTTGTTGTTGCATTTATGCAGGTGGATGTTTGGTCAGCCGGTGTGATGTTTTATCAGATGCTATATGGGAGGCGTCCTTTTGGCCATGACCAGACCCAAGAGAGAATACTTCGAGAAGATACAATTATCAACGCACGCAAGGTGGAATTCCCTTCGAAGCCAACTGTATCAAACGAAGCAAAGGTATGCTTCCTGTTTGTTCATATGGCATATTTCACCTTCTGAGCCATCACTTGTAGTTCTAGTTATTCCCTTGCTAGATTATGTACATGTGACAGGAGACCACGAGTTTGGTTTCAAGTTTGTTCTGTAGATTGCCATGAATTGTGCAAGGGAATGTTGCTAGTTTGGAAATATTTTGATCTTGGAATACAAATAACCACACATCAAACTTCTGTTGTATTAATGCGAAGCACTATTGCTCCCATCTCTTGTGAGTCAATTTGTGACCTTTTACTTCCAACTTATGCAGGAACTGATACGCCGTTGCTTGACATACAATCAATCGGAGAGGCCAGACGTTCTGTCAATAGCTCAAGATCCTTATCTCTCTTATGCAAAGAGGTAGACACTGCACGTCTGGGCATGACTACACTACAAGACGAAGGATTTTTTGGAGGTTGGGCAGCCACTCCCAAATGGTGTAACTGTACATATTGTACATTTCGGGTTGGTCTCGTAAACTGCGATGACCCAATGTCTGCTCTTTTCAGTTTAGAGGAAGTAGGGCATCGGTTTTGAGGGGCATGCACTTCTCTTGATGCTCTTGTGCCGCCCCTCCTTGCGTAATGGGATGTTTGTTTTTGCTAGCGACCCTGCTGATGGTTCCTTTAAAGGCTGTATTTATTCGTACGGTCCACTAGGGACTGGGCTCTGCCAAACACACATTCATCAGAGATGGGAACCGTCGATGTTCACAAAAACCTTTGTGATGCACTATGTCCGCCCGGATATGTTCGTTCTATCTCGGTTGTCTAAATTGGGTGTGGTCAGTTGAAAGCTTTGATCAACAACTGCTTCCTCAGTTAGGGTTTATTGGACCTCCTTATTCCGGTCAATCCAACCATTAACTGAAGGGTTTTTATCATTTATATGTCACTGGTTATGTCCCACTAAGTTTTGCCACTAGGAATTCGAACTGCTCAAAAATGCCAGCGCTTCAGCTTGAATCTCGTTTGCCATGTTACTGACCAAAATACCTATGGACCAACACAGCTGCTCTCCCTTTATCTCACTATAATAAAGCATGGGTTTCACTTGATCCCAACAGGGTTTTTATTTTCCTCTAAAATCATTCGCTCGCTTACTCTTGACAAGTGGGATTCACACTTATCATTGTGAGATAGAGAAAGTTAACATGTGGGTTCAGGGGTATTTTATAATACATGGTCAATGGGTTTGACCTGACAATAACGATGTCTAATGGCATTTTTGAGCAAACATCTAATGGAAAGATGACATTTTTGAGCTATTTAATGGCATTTATGAGCAAGCATCTCACTTAACGATAACATTTTTGAGCAGTTGTAACTTTTAATGGCAAAGCCGAGTAGTGGGACACAACTAGTGGCATAAATGATAAAAACCCTTAATTTAACTAATGAAATATAAATTATGTGTCACAAGTGGAAATCCTTTTTTGAATACAAATACAAATTCAATAGTATAATTTTCATAGCATATACCTTATATTTCATTAGTCATATAGATAATCAAAGTTTGACCAAAAAATATGAGGGACTTGATAAACATGGATGGAGGAAGTAACTAAATAAGAGTGGTTCATTTGATACTCCATCCGTCCCAAAATAAGTGTCTCAACCAAGTTGAGACACTTATTCGGAGGGAGTATACAGTTAGTGTTATTACGTATGTATTTCACCTTTATATGGTTTCGATTTTGCAGCTATTAACAAAATATTTTAGAAGAGACTTATGTGGTTACATTGTTTTATAATGGCCTTGATGCGTAATGTCAACCTAATAATCTCTAATAATCCTAGGGCATGATTATCGGAAAAAAAATCCTAGGGCATGAGGAATACTGCGGCTGGAATGCATGTAGAAGGTATTTTATACATGCGCGAAACTGAGTTTCCTTTAGTTCAAATTAAATGTTTCAACTCTTAAACTTTGAATGTATTTTATGATATATCTTCACATTTAGTTTAGTTTTGTGATGAGCTTTAAAACTGCATCCTATATAGACAAGTTCGAGTGATTTCTGTTTTCTGAAATGTTACTAGAATATCACTTAATATACCATATGTAGGTTGGTTTAAGAAATCAATGGATGCGTTTTGTTTTAGCTGTATTCATAGTGGAGTCTTCAGTCTGTGTGTACATGTGTAAGAACTAATTGCATGAAAACACTAGCATGGACACGGCTAAACCTTGTCTTATAACTGAAGTTACCACCATTATGGAGATATCATTACCATACTGTTAGAGCATCTCTAGCGGCTCATATATATGATCCTCTAAAAAAACGTGCTCCCATATAGTATAAATCAGCCTTGACATATCACATGGCCCATTTGGTAAGCAACCTCAAAACAAACAGATAAATCAACGTTGACATCGTTGAAATCTAGACGATGCATCCACATCGTCCAAACGCCAATTCCCTTTCCTCCCGTCACCATTCGGAGCAGGTGGAGCACTGAGATGACGCCACATCACTCCGTGCGACTCTGGACAGAAGGGGAGGGGAGAAGCATGGGGCTGGCGCGGAGACGAGGAGGGGGAGTAGGGGGCATTGATCCGCGCTGTCGGGGAGGGAAAGAGGAAGAGGCATATGAGCTGGCAAGGTGGGAGCAAGGACATCAACGGTGCGGGGCGAGGAGGACCTAGGGCGGAGGATCGTCGCCACCGGCTATAGCCAAAGATACATGATGACTGCGTTCAGTATGCTTATATATGGACCATATCACCATTAAAAGAAGAAGGGGTTCCAAAAGAAAAATCTCAGAGATTCATTGATAATCTTGCCAATCCATTGTAGAAGCCTCATTTTCTCTAAATAAAGATACCACTATGTGTATAAAGTTCTCGTTGATGGGTCGTGTGGGGGCAGTAAGGAGCATTGTGGGACATGAGGGAAATCGAGTGCAACGTTGAGTTTGACCAATCAGCACTGGAGGCAAAGAGGGCGGTACCCAGCCGTTGTTAGAGGATCTTCAAATGAACCATCGAAACCTTCCTATATGTCCGAGCAAACAGGTCGGATAGTGTAAGGACAAAACAACCTCTTCAACAGAGGCCACCCAAATCCCCTCCATTTATCTGGATTGCTAGTTGTTACGAAGTACTCCCTCTGTAAAAAAGAATACAAGAACATTTAGATCACTAGTTTAGTGATTTAAACATTTTTATGTTTCTTTATGAAGGAAGTAGATTGAACTCAACCTCATGTAAGTTGATCCATTTGATTTTCATAAAAGAAGGTTGATCCATTTGATAGCTACACATGTCGGCCTGGCGTCTTGTTCAATTTATTGTGTAAAATGTTTGTGCCGAACAAGGATGATATTGAAATGGTAGTTACAAAATATTATTGAAACAATAGAGAGAATATAGAGGTGAATGAGATATTGACTCGGAATCTTTTCAGACCACTGTCTATATAAAAATTTGGACAACCAAATATGAACAAGCTGCTCTTAGCATTAGTACCATGACGCTCTCATTTGCACTTGACGATCTGATAACAGTTACAACTGCAGTAGTACTGTGCTTACTAACACTCAATAGCAGCTTTTGGATATGAGCTCTATTTTTTTAAAGAAGGATACCTGCATCGATCGATGCACACAACCATCATTATTGCATTATTTAATAAGATCTTACAAAATAAATACACAAATCAACCAAAGCCATCTTTCTAACGAAAATTGTCATCCTACCCACAAGGTTGATTATATGTCTTGACCTCGCGTCAACGCACACCATAAAATTCAGTGGCCTCACCAAGCCGCCTGCCGGCTAGCCGGGAGCACCAACTAGTCTAGCAGATTCTCAGCGTACACCGCAAGTGCACGTTATAGAATCCGTCGCTGCCATCTTCCGTCATCCCATCTTCAGGAGTAATCACTGCATTGACTTTGTTAGACCCTTTTTGCCGTCGACGCCACCACGACGTCAGACAACATCACTGACCACCCTCATGCACCTTGCCGCCAAGACTCGCCGCTGTCGATACTGTAGATGGCACACCGCTCCACCTTGGTCACCACACGAGAAGCATGCAGAGACCTGCGCCTAGCCATCGAAGCCAAACACTTGTCCCTCCAGCCGATGTACAATCCCAAAGATGATGCCCCCATAGGGGTGAGGGCAGAGGAACCTCACCTTCGTCCGATCTGGAATTCGAATCTGGGGTTTCCCCCAGGGCACACAGGAACGCAAAATCTCCCCACAACACCTCCAACAAGATAACGAGGCCCACGGGTGTCGCCGTCGACAGTTACGGCTGAGCCTGAATCAAGCTTTCACTGGCAACCTCGCGCCCATCACTGGTTGGTCCACCAGATTCTCCACCACTTTCATCCAGCACGCCCCATGGGGACGTCCCTACCGCCAGAAACCGCCGACGACCGGAGTCGCAGCGGTGTCACCACCCGGAACCACCGCTCCGGCTGGGTGAGCCATCGATGGCGGAAGAATCCGCATCGTTGCGCCACCGACGCCAGACGACACACACGTCGAAGCAGGACACCTGTGCGGATCCACCGCGACTGCGTCCCGGAGCCACGGCAGAGGCAGGGACGGATTACGGGGGCGAGGATTAGTTT